TTGTACTCATTTTTTCATTCTTACTGGAACTGCCTAATTCAGTCAATACCATCTTCTTTTACAGACATTGCAACATTTCTTTGGCTGTTGTCTTTGACTCTGGTCTTGGCACCCTTAAGTCCATCTTCAGCATTGCTGATTAATTAACAACTCATCGCCTCCTTGCTCCCAGCCATTATCCAGTTACTGCTTGTTCTTCCCTGACCATGCTGGGGTCTTCTGATTTCCTGGATTATCCGTGTTTCGTTACTGCCCATCTGCTAGTATGCTTGTTCCTTCCTTGTTGGCCTTTTGGAACCCACTTTTTCTTAAAGTCCCCCTTCAAACATCATCTCCCTGAGGAGAGAGTCAGACAACCTTTTTCCCATACCTCCATAGGTACTCCTGTATGCCTGTTACAGCCTAATCACATTGTAACTTAATTATCTGTAGGGGCCCATGCGAGAAAAGAATATGTTTAGTTGTCTTGGTATCCTTAGATGTGGCACAATTGTAGCTTTAAAAACTTGATTATATTTATTAAACAAATACTTAGACCAATGTTTAGTTTGTATGAATGAAGTCTAAGTCTCCATGTGCCAGTTATTAGGTATGCAGACTTAAAAGGGATAAGGTCCTTGTCATCAAAAAGTGCACAGTGTGAAGTTGGACAGACAACATGAGGGGCAAAAGATTCATGTCATGAGTGAACAGACTATTTCATTTACAGCTGAAGATATTAGCATTTATGCTATTCGTTTTTTTAAGAAGAGGTGAATTAACAGTAACTTAAAATTCTGACTTATAACTTACTTGTTCATGAAAGCAATTTTGTTATAAGTTTTGTCTCTTGAGGAAATGTATTCTTATATACCCAAATGTCAAGCTGTCATTTTATCTTATGATATGAGATTAGCATTGTCTATATGTTTCAAGTGATTTACTGTAAGTAGGGGATTTGCGTCAATCGTAGGTGGAACCTTGGGAGTGAGCACTGCACCAATTGTCTGCGCTGAACTACTTTCTCTGTGCTTTCTACATTTTCAGATCAAGTTTAAAATGGAAGTCTTGGCTATTGATTCATAGCATATTTGCAAAAATTGAAGTCATCTTTCCCTAGTTTTAATTTTTCAAGCTCTAAGAATTTTTTCCTTGTTTTCTGATCTTGTACAGTTTAACAAATGTGAGAACAAAAAAAAAGTCTTTATTAGCTAATTGAATATTGTAGTTTATATAAAATTATCATGTACAGTAGTTGAGTGTAATATTCACAATAAGTCAGTTTTTTTTACTGATCACTTTCTGCATACTGGTAGGCCTCAGTGTCATTATTTGAGAATTGACAGTCCTTGTACCTTAAAGTACAGAAGTGCTTTTTAAGGTAGCAAGGATTTCTAGTGCTGTACTCAGACTAGTTTTAATTTTGTTGTCTTTGATGAATTTACTTCTTATTTTCTGGATGATTCTTTGGGATTCTGGCATTATAAATAGAAGATAAACTTACTGTATTATATTTATATCTGCGTTCTTAATAGCTGTGAGGATTTTTTCAATGTTATTAAAAATGCAAGTTAGAAGAAATTAGGTTTTTCTTTTTTGTGCCTAAAGACACTCAGCCCTTTTAAGATACAGCTCTTAAAGCATAGAAGCAATCTATGGAATATTTTCAGTGTCACATGGGATTTTGTAATTAAGCAAATATAGGCAGATTATAAGAATTTTTATTTATTCTGAATTTAGTTTCTAATTAGAATTTCATAATTAAAAATTTTAATAGCAACAAAGAACATTGTCCTTGTTTTTTTTTTTTTAATTTTATTGGGGAATTAGGGGAGGAGAACAGTGTTGGGGAACTGAGAATGGGAACAGCCAAGTTGTTGTCCTTTTGTTCTTCAGTCTAGTTGTGGAGGACGTTGCTTTACTGGCCCATGTTGGTATTATGATCATTGCACTCTTCCCGGCTGAGACAGACAGGTCACCGGCCATTGGACGGCCACTCACGGCATCTCACAGCAGCCCACTGCAGCCTACGCCGTTGCTGGCCACTCACGGCAGCCCAGCTCCAGGTTGAGCTGTTGTTCACAATCTTAGCTGTAGAGGGCACAGCTTACTGGTGCATGAGGGAATCAAACCGGCGGCCCCACTGTTCAGAGCTTGTGCTCTTACCAACTGAGCCACTCGGCCGGCCCAAGAACATTGTCTTTGAAAGGACATAAATTTAGTTTGTATGTATTAGAATTCTTTCATTATAATATAATGATGGCAATGTAAGGCTCTGGCATAGGAAGAAGTTTTAGTGAAGGGATTTTCACACAGATAGTAATCAAACTGGAAGAGTGTGGTTTTATAAGCCAAGAGAGAAGGGAGATTTAGGAGGAAGGGATGATCAGTAGAATCAAATTAAAGGAAAAACAACAAAAAAGGTTAACTAAGAAAAGGACGAAACAGTATATATTGGTTTAAGTAATTATAAAAGCAGTTTCAGTGGAGTGGTTGGAGCAGGAGCCAAATTGCAGTGAATGTCATCGATCTTGGGTCTTGTTTTCTCCCGTACTAGCTAACTGGACAGATAAATGCTATTATTATCAATTCTGCCTGGTATTATTGTTAGTGAATGAAACATATGTTGAAGGGCAATCTTTGTAATGCGACATTGTGAGGTGAGTGGTGATTGATGCTTTTATCTTAATAGGTGACTTTCTCAGCTTGCCTTGAACATCAAATCTATGAAACTAAAATTAATGTGAAGTGCTTCTTTAAAGGGACACTTTTCACTTCCCATTCATTTTAAGAACTTCTTTGTCAAACTGACCTCTTAACTTGGCTACCACAGTTTTTAGACTATATAAAAAGCTTTCAAAAATATTTGATTTTTTTAACTCTATTTGTAAAATAATATTGTTGACTGCATTTTCTTCCCTCACTTCTGGATGGGGAGAACCTTTAGGGAATAGTAGGTAGGAACAACAAACCAATCCATCGACAGCCTAGACTGCTCTATAGTCTAACAGGACACTAGTAATGCCCTGCCTTTTTCCCAGTCCTGCCTGATTTTCAGGACCTCCTTATAAGATGGTGTAGACTAGGCAAGGAAATATAAATATGTAAACTACATGTGTTGATTTCAGCTGTTGGAGAGGAAAAACAGTCCTCTACCTTCCTCAGTTCTTCTGGCTGTTCTAAGAAATAAATTGACATAAGACAGATAAACAGAAGAAAAACCAATTTAATTGTGTATGTACTGAGGCTCCATAAGAATAAGAGGCCTATACGTGGTCAGGCAATTGGGACGTGTATGCCATTCTGAACTAAGGAGAAGGGGTAGGAGTCTGGAACTTCAAAGGGGAGGAGAGCAATTCATATGGAGGTGGAAAAACAAATATTTACTGGGCCATGTGGAGACAATGGGGTATAGATAGGTCTTAGGTCTCTAAGCCCTGCCGAGTTCTCCCTATCACACCTAATCCATGTTCTTTATAGTTATTTGGTGATCGTGCTTCCTGGACCAAGCCCTGTATCTAAATTATTTTAGGCAGTTAACAGGGAGGTGAAATGCCTTTCCTGAGTCTTTTGTTTCTTAAAAATAATCAGCCTAAAATAATCCTAATGCCAAAGAAATATATTTTGGGCTGGCAAACTCCTGCTCCCCTACATGGCCAAAGTCAAAGGAGAAGCAATAGAGTGACTCTAACAGAAGCTTTCTTTAGCATCAGACCCAACTCTTCTTTGTGTTGTATTTTTCTTCTTTGGATCATAAATTTCCTCTTTATGTTTCCTCAGAACATCCTCAAGGGTGGATCTACTTGATCACATGTGCCTCGGTTTCTAATTCCTATATGATGGGGTGTGTGTGTGTGTGTGTGTGTGTGTGTGTGTGTGTGTGTGTGTGTTTCATTATAATTCCATTACTATAAGGTAGAGTTCTGTTTGCCACAGTATCTAGGAGTGAGTCTGAACTTAGAAAACTTAACAATAATCTTTTTAACTCTATCTGGTCAGATTGCTACTCCACTCTAGGCTATTCTCACTTTTGTGGGTGAAAGAATGCAAAGCATTCCACAGTTCTGCCATTTTTAATTCCTTTTGTCTTTCCCTCCCTGGGGTCCAGCTGACCCTGCGGGACTTCCCCTGAGATTACTAATTGAAGTAGTTCTGTTTACACTAGATAACCTGATGCCCTTCTCCACTCATATACCATAGATTCCCTTTCTGGTTGATATTTCCCACTTAACAAATGTATTTTGATAAATAAGATGGTAATATTGGATAGACATAATATAGAGATGCCTTTATAGTTGCCTGTATAAAAAGGTATTTTAACAATGAGGGAAATCATTAAGGAAAAGACATTGTTTGTGCTAATTACAGCAAATGGAGTAGGGTGTTGAAAAGAAAAGTTAGATTAGAAGCATTTAAAAAGTTAATGCTCTAGGGGCTGGAGGAGGAAGGAGAGAATAGGTGGAGCTCAGAGGATTTCTAGGGCAGTGAAGCAACTCTGTAGGACACTATAATGCTAGGCACATGTCATTCAACATTTGTCAAAACCCAAGGGTGTACAACACCAAGAGTGAACCCTAATGTAAACTGTGGACTTTGGGTGACAATGCTGTGTCAGTGTAGGTTCATAGATTATAAAAAATGTACCACTGCAATGCATGATGTCGATAGTGGGGGCCAGGGAGGCTTGTGTGTGGAGGGGGACCAGGATCTATGGAAAATATGTTTACATTCTACGTAATTTTGCTATGAATCTAGAAGTGCTTTAAAAAATAAAATCTGTTTAAAAACAAAAAAAGTTTATGCTCATTAACATCTTAGAAGCATCCAGAAGATGAACTGAAATTTACTTTCTCTGATTCAGTCATGAATGAATTAGTCTGTTTGAGAAATTTGTGGACCTGAGGGGAATACCTCTCTTGTTTTCACTCACTAAGTTACCTCATTTGATAAGCATTAAAGAAAACTATAAATTCAATTATTTATATTATACTTCACTAACCTTTGCTCCCATTTACCTCTAGGTTTGAAGTTTGAGGAAATTCAAGAAAGATTTGGTGAGGAGTTCTTTAATATATGCTTTGATGAGAATGAGAGAGTCCTTCGAGCTGTCGGTGGCACATTGCAGGACTTTTTCAATGGCTTTGATGCTTTGTTGGAACACATTAGAACTTCTTTTGGAAAACAGGCCACTCTGGAGTCACCATCATTCCTATGCAAAGAGCTCCCTGAAGGTACACTCATGCTCCACTACTTCCACCCTCACCACGTTGTGGGGTTTGCAATGCTGGGGATGATTAAGGCTGCAGGAAAGAAGATCTATCGGTTGGACGTGGAAGTGGAGCAAGTTGCGAATGAGAAACTGTGCTCTGAGAGTTCAAACCCAGGCAACTGTAGCTCTCTTACTTTCCTTATCAAAGAATGTGACAATACTAATACCACGAAGAACCTTCCACAAGGAACCTCCCAAGTTCCCGCGGACCTCAGAATTAGCATCAGCACCTTCTGCAGAGCCTTCCCTTTCCACCTGATGTTTGATCCGCACATGTTAGTCCTCCAGCTGGGGGAAGGCCTGAGGAAGCAGCTCCGATGCGACACTCACAAAGTGCTCAAATTTGAGGACTGCTTCGAGATCGTTTCTCCAAAGGTCAATGCCACCTTTGAAAGGGTCCTGCTGCGACTGTCCACCCCGTTTGTGATTAGGACCAAGCCTGAGGCTTCTGGCACTGAAAATAAAGACAAGGTAAGTGACCATAAACTTGAAATGGGTGGTGGGAACTAGAAGAGTGCATAATTAGTTCAAGAAATTGCATGCTGGCTGTACTAGTAATTATTTAGGCAAGAGAGCTTAAAGTGCCATTTAGAAAATTACTGGTCCCTGGATGTATGTAATAAGATTTGGCCCTATTCCCAGCCATTTTGCGTAATGTCTGCATATTCCATTAATTTATTTTAGCATATTAAAAGAAGACACTTATTAATACTAGCCATAGTAATTACAAAAATGATAGGACTCAGTAAAAATCTAATACTGTAAACCCATGAATATTTTCACCGATTGAAGTCAAACTGTGAGGAAAACGGTAAGACTGGTTTTAATAGTTTGGGGTTGCTTTCTTTATACTTAAATAAATATAGGTAAAAAGCTAGCTACACTTTTATTATGTTCTGTTCTAAATTTGACAATCTAGGAACACCTGGTTAACATCCCATTTTTGTCTTAAATGCAGAATAATGTATTTTCTAAAATTTGGAAATGAAGTGACTACCCTAGGACTTCTGATTACATTTTAGTATTGAAAGAGGGACTCACTCATTTCTTTAGAACATGTTCATTCCTTGAGAGTACAGTGAACTCTAGAAATCTGTACTGTGAATTTCTTTGCACCCCTTTTGTGAAAATCTGGGTTATAAATTATAAATAAATGATGAAAAGATAAGAGAAATATATCTTAAAATAGTTGAATTTAAACAAATATATTCCCTCAGGTAAAATATTTTTAAGAAAAAAGTCAACATTAAAATAAAAAATAAAATAAAATGTAAGGAAAATCAGCCATGACTATTTTAATGGTTATATACTTTCAGTGATTAAGGGAAGAGTAATGTGAATTTCCAGAATAGACATTTGAATGTACATTCAGTTTACAGTAGAACCTCTTTTCAATATTTTGTATCAAGATAAATAAAGTTCTGTTAGGCTATTCAGCTTGTGCCTAGGCATTTTTGGAAAGCAGTAGAAACAAACAGGGTGCTGTGAGCTAAAGGAAGGAAGAGTTGCAGAAACAATTAAAACTCAGTGAACGAATAATCTACACATATTCTGGAGTGTCTGCATTAATAAATAAATGAGGAAATAGCCTCCTGAAAACAGAGTCAAAGACATTTTTGAGGATTTTATACAGCATTAGTTTAATAATTTATTAATTTTTATAATTTTGAAATTCAATGGAAAAAGTTTAGACAAAATATTGGAGAAAGATGGAAGGATGCACATTTATTTAGTATGACTGAGTCAGGTTAGAAAGAGTCATTCAGTAATTTTTTTACCATATAAATTCAGTGCATTGCAAACATTGAAGGAAAAGCCTGAAGATTCCAATTTGGCTCATTTGGGTATACTATATTATTCCTAAATTGATTACGCATGTTTTAAATAATATTTTTCACATGTACTATATACATACATATTCAATAATTGCTACCCATTTTGAAGCTCTTTAGATTGGAAGCAAGTTGATAATGTATATTTTTGTCTATACGTGTAGTTGCTTTAAAACTGGAATTATAGCTTTGTAACATGGGGGATATTAAAGCTGTTGGTTCTGTCTTAAAGAAGTTCAAAATTTGGCTAGGAAGGTTTGAAGCATCTTTGGCTTTTAGAATTGAAGTTAATATTTTTGACCATGTGCCTGAAGTAGAATATATTATAAGCAATGTGAATTGTTTTATATTTTTTGCAGATTTGCAAAACATTAATTCAATTTAAAAATTCTGCTTCAAATTTTCCCCTCTGTATTTTATCTGGCTTGTATTTCTATTTAATTTGTATACCAGGGTAAGAAATAGACATAAGGAAACGATGACTCAAATGTCAAGGTCCCCTGCTAGTTCCAATAATAAAGGACTGTGCTCATTGAGAAGATGCAATTATAATTTAAACATGTTAGTGGCAGTTTAAAAATAAAGCAATAGGCAGGCGTTTTGGTTAGAATAAGGATAACAGTCCTCTCATCCTTAGGTTTACATTTCTGCATATTCACTTGGGTTTGCCGATGTGGGGCATTTGGGAGGCTCCCGTTGGCAAATGGAAACTATAGTCCATGAAGTTGTCGCAGGGAGTCGTAAGCAGATGAACAGCATTGTTTAGTTATTATGTTTCCAAATTCCAAATTTGTCTTTTCTTAAAACATGGAAAGAAGAAAGAAAATTGGGGTTAAAATTATGATTCTGTTGATAAATTTGACCTTGATATTCATTATTTTCCCCATACCTATTCCTGTTAATAAATAACTCCATGTTGTCTGGAGGTTCTACTTTTTTAGTGGTCTTTGATAAGAAATGCTATTTAAAAAAATAATTTAGGATATTTATTCCTTGGTCTAACAGTAAAGGCTTTCATGATAATTTAGCTATTTTGGCTATTCCCTTAATACCAATGATCCACTACCCCTGCCGTCATAAAACAAAAGAAAACAAAACAACAAAACAAGAGCTAAACATGCTGAATGACAGTAAATTATTCAGAACGAATTGTAATCCTTTTTGCTAAACCATGATCTTTGTCATTTTGTGTTGTCAGTTAGTGGTTAACTGCATAGAGGTAGAGCATGCTTGTGAGCGATTTGGTGAGATGCTAATGAAAAAGAAAGCCATCATCTTAGTTCCAAAGAATTTACATGTTGGTTCTGCAGTAATACATTATAAAGACAAAAGGGTAGCAAGAATGTAACTGAGAAGCATCTGATGCAGTAATCGTGGCCAGCCATTAATTCAACAGAGTTTTGAGGTCAGAAGGAAGTCTTCCAGATGGCGTGACCAAGCTTTGATTCCCATTTTTTGGTTCCCTCTATGTCTTCTCTAAGTGATCACCCATGCCTTCTATATTCTTCTCTCTCTTTTTGCTTTCCCCCATATGGCATTCCTATATTTTTATATTTCCTTAAGCCCAACTTCCTTTTCATCATCTTTTCTTATCAGATGTCAAGTATTAAATATGAATGAATTGGTTCATTATTTAAAAAAAAAAAAAAAAACAACCAGGGCCGGCCGAGTGGCTCAGTTGGTTAGGAGCTTGCTCAAGAGTGCGAGTATGAGCAACAGCGGTTCGATTCCCAGCCTGAGCTGAGCTGCCGCTGAGCTGCCAACAGATGGCAGGAGGGCTCAGCTAAAAAAAAAAAACCCAAACAAAAACAGAAACAAAAAACCAGATTCAACACTGGGAATTGAGACTGAATTGGGAATCCGTGTTAATTTGTGCTGTGTGTCTTTCAGGTCATTCGAATATAATACTCTTCTGAGAACACAATTTAGGTTGCTACCTGAATCTGTATATGCTGGGCTACAGCTCCTTTTCCTCAAATAAATGCTTATTATTCTTTAAAAAGTCAAATATTGTTCTGATAATTTGGAAGTTTATAGATCTTTTGAGGCATTGAGAAAAAATTTGTTGCAGTCCAATATGTAATTTCGGTGTTGACATTTGGTTTTATAAACCTAACTCATTCACATAGATTTCAAAGCCTTTTGTGTGAAGAGAAGCAAGTTTGTAGATAAGACTGTTAGAAATTAGAGTAATAGCACATGACTTCTTTCTCTGCATTGTGAGATCATGATGTGTGGGGGAAGTGGCAACAGACTGGGAGAGAGAGGTCTCTGACAATTGTGATCTTAGTAAATCCCTGTAATCTCTGAGCCACAGAACCTAGACTAATAATTAATATTTTTATTCCTTTACAAGTCATCCGTACCATATAAATTTATTTGAGGTCAGTTGATTTCGAAGCTTTCTATCATCCCTATGATTCAATGAACTGAGATGTATTTTTAAAGAGGCAGAGAGGAATCTGACTTTTCAACCATAAAGAGCTCATTCTATTATCAAGACTAAGTTAAAATAATTCTCTGGTAGCTTATGCTGTCAGATAACTCAGAAAGTTATTTGTGAGGATTAAATAACATACCCCATGTAAAATTCTTATTATAATATCTTTGGCCCCTGAATTCAGTGTTGAATATGTTTATTATTATCACTTCTACTATTATTATTATTGTTCCTTTCCACTTATAACATTCCTCTTATTCATTCTCCTCCTCACTTCTTGCCATATAGGAAGTATTGGAGGTCAGTAGGTTTAATAATTTTAGAGAAATAATCAAGCTCACCTCATATCTTCACAAAATGTGACTTGAGCTCTACTTCTTGTCTTCTTAATAAAGACTGGAAGATCCCGTCACTTACTCTATAAGAGCTCTGTTTGGATCTGCTTTTTATATAGACTATCATTGTTTTAAAATCCCTAGTCTTCTTTTCAGATATACTAGGGTTTGGAATCAAGTTTTTATTACCTGCGTCTACTAATATATTTTATGTTCACTTGTTTTAGCATTTTGCTGTGCTAGTGGCTTCTAAAATAAAATGGACTTGTTAGCTTAGGCACAACCTGAAATAGCAATGGATTTTGAGAAACAATAAATAACATGAGCTCTTTTGACATTTTTTTTTCTTAGTAGCAACGCTTCAAAGAACTTTAATAACATTGTAGAAGGAGTCCAGCATTTGAAATACATCATCCCTACGACAGAGCAATGGCATTGTTATTCATCTTTACTTTTGCTCTCAGGTTTGGAACTGAGGAAAAGCATAACAACACATTTCTTTTTCAATCCCCAGAAATATCCTCATGTTTGTCTTATTAATTAGAAACTGCAAAACAAATTCTGAGAAATAATTTTCAAAGAATAAAGGAGGAATGAACCTATGAATTTATGTGGTCAAATCAATTTTCAAAATGCTCCTTTATCTTTTCTAGATGCATGCCCATAGTCTTCTGACATGATGATTGAAAAGTTTAAAATATATTTATTAATCTTACCATACCATAATGACACTGTTGAAAGACAAGTTTCATATAACTGTCAGGAATACATTATTGAATTCAACTTTAATTTGGGAAAATGTGAACTTCCCTCTCTGTTTAGATCATAATTTTTTATTAGAGAATCTCAAATAATAGACAATAT